ACCGAGTGTGGCCTCATCACACTTACCATCTACCCCGACTCGGGCCTCCAATCCGGATCCTTTCATTGCCTCGTAGATCCGTTTCTTCCTCCTCAAGTCCACGGTCTGATGCTGGGAATTATGATAACTATTATGACAGAGGACTTCGGACAAGGTGCGTTCAACTAAGCCCCCCTGACAGCAGAACCAAGTTGCGAAAATGAGGTCAACCCACTTCTATGCATTGAAAGGAGACTGCGACCATACCAGAGGAGACGGCATTTTGGTCTTCATATCGTAAGTGACGGAGATTTTGAGAACAGCAGAAGTATATTTTAGGTAAAAGTAAAACCAAGCAAGCAATAGAGAATAAAAGAATGATATTTTAAGAATGAAAAAAGACCACTAGAAAGGCGATACCCTAAAAATTGGGTGTGCATCTCAAGGAAGGAGGGATGGTAGGAAGAAGAAGACACCTAAGCAGTGAGGGTATTGGATAATTAGAAAAAACGGGACGCCAGAAAGAGGAGTGTACTAGGCGACAAGGATAAAAAGGCACGAGATGCTGATACATATATGCACCTTGACAACTAGGTTGCTGGGGCCTTGACTGGAGAAGGTGGCGATTCTGTTGTAGAGTTTGCGAGTAGACCTGCCTTCTCCGATTTGCCTAATCCGCGGTCAGGTCGTTTCTCCATTTATGCTTACCCGACTAGCACTCACGTCATGGATACATCCGTCCGTTGCTTTTTATTACGCTTGCATAGCCGGTCTACTTAAGTGGTCAATGGAACAGTGTTGGTCACATTCTCCTCGGCCCAACCATATCTGTCTGTAGGTGTGCATTTCTCTCTGTCTGTATGTGTATGTGTATGTGTGTGTGTGTCTGTATGCCTGTCCACCCGTATGGCGAACCTGTCCTTGGCCGTGTCTTTCGTCCAGCCAAGGCGTATATCTTGTAGCCGCGATAACGCCTCAAGGCGAAGCGAAGACAGGTACAGACCTGAGGGTACAGACCGGTCTGGGAAAGGGTGCTGTTCAGGTATCTTTGGGGCAGCCTCCTTTCCGACCAATACTACAGGCCAGAATCGATACGATCAGCTTATCAGTTCGGCCCATCCCGTCCAGTCGGACGGAATCGATCTCCCAGTGGTCATCACCATTTAGCATTCGACAACCCGTTCGTCTTGCTGCTAACCGGCCGGTGTCAGAGCCAGGTTTCCTGTCGCCTCGGCGCTGGTGTGCAAACAATGATACCGTCCCGACTGGCCACGTAACCAGCCTCAGCATGACAGCAAACTTGGTTGGCAGGGTTAGAAGTGTCCCGTCGGTTCAGTGGGTCTCTGGGCCAGCGGGCAATGACGCCGGTCACCGCGGCAAAAGAGGTGCCTCCAAGCGCTTGACCTCGGGTTTTGGTGGGTTCAGGTCAAGTGAAGAGCGTCCAGCGTCATCGCACTTTAGACCTCATTGCATAATCATTCGGCGTTGGGAGTCCTTAGCCGCGACAGAGAAGGATTGAGACAAAGACACGTTTCGAGGTGGCCGATCTGAAAATTGGGCGAATTGAGGTGAATTTCAGGCAAATAGTTGAGCTTTTCCGCAAAGAGATGAGTACTCCTCATGCCAGACCTCTCACCATTCACATTTTGTGATGGAATCAAAAATAACCCAAACACGTGTTTTCCTTTGTAAAAAATCTCATTACTTATCCCGCAAATAAGTAGGCTTGTTCATAATCAGTAAATCCTGACAAAGAGATAGTCATCCTAGGTCATTTAAGAGGATAATTGGGTTGCGCCAGAATGCAAAACGCTGCCATCGAGACAAGCGTCTCCAAACTCACATTTCATAGTGGGATTTATGATTACTCAAGCGCGTGTCTGCATCTAAAATCTTTGCTGTAAAATTCCTGTTGACACTGTTTCCGAAGCATTCGCCTTCAATTTTGGTTGGAAAGTGCTAATACTTCATCCATTGTGTCACCAACATGATCAGAGAATGTGACAATCCTAAAAAACTAATATTCAAGCAAACAAGTTAAGAATTGTATGGTCTTATTGACAATTACCTAAATGCGTTGTTGTCTTTGCAATCGAGCACGATACTTATTTAGCAAATAATAGACTTTATAATAATCACTACTTCTTAAATAAGAAATTAGTCACTCTGGATCCGTTAAAGTGGTTTTCATCGGACGGATAGTTGACTTTACTCGACGATGAGGTAAAATGAAATTAAACCGAGCCACTCCCAACTCACAATTTACATTAAGATTTTCTATTACCAAACACTTGTTTATGAGTTAATAATTTCTTTTTTAACGTGAGCGCAGTCACCTTAGGTCGATTAAGGAGATTTTTAATTGGAGGACATTTTAAATTCCCCCCCCTCCTTAAGATGAGTAGCCTTTAAGTCGGGCCTTTCCTAACCCACATTTTGTGGGGGGGGGATCAATGATTACCGAAATACTTTTTTTTTCTTTGCAATAGACCACATTATATATTTTGCAAATAAGCAGGATTCCCAACTCATACCTGTGGTGGCCTTACCGACTACGGGTATATATTCAGAATATACCACGTTACTTATTTTCCCAAAAAGTAGTCTTTGAGTACATCTATAATTCTTGAATTAAACTTTGTCTTCCTATCTTGCTTAATTACACTTCTAATCACGTATATTTTACATTTCTCCAAACCCACCTTTTTATGATGGGAATGTCGTTAAGGCAAAAACTGTTTTCCTTTACTACAGGCCACATTACTCTATTTCCAAATATGTTGTCTTTGAGTTATGCAGCACTTGCTCAATGAGAATTTAGTTATCATAGCTCGGCTAATGTGATTTTTAATGGACGTCTAGTTGCGCTTACTCAAAATTGGATTATGGGTCCTCAAGCCGGGCTTCTCCTCGCTCGCATTTATAATGGGATGGTGGATACCTAAACCGAGTGGTTAGCGTGTCAAGCTACCGTCCTGCACTGTCGCGGTTCGACTCCCGCAGAGGGGGTTGATAAGCCCGACGCGAGGTCGAAGCTGCAGTCCACTGATGCCTGGATGATAACAACTTTTGGGAAAGTAAAACTATGTTCACATAGCCTTGCTTTCCCACCCTGGATGAGAACAACTTTTGGGAAAGCAAGGCTATGTGAAATTCAAAGGTCAAAACTGCAGTCCACCCAGGATGAGAACAACTTTTGGGAAAGCAAGGCTATGTGAAATTCAAAGAGGTCGAAACTGCAGTCCACCCTGGATGAGAACAACTTTTGGGAAAGCAAGGCTATGTGAAATTCAATAGCGAGGTCGAAACTTCAGTCCACCCAGGATGAGAATAACTTTTGGGAAAGCAAGGCTATGTGAAATTCAATGTCCAATGCGAGGTCGAAACTGCAGTCCACCCAGGATGAGAACAACTTTTGGGAAAGTAAAGCTATGTGAAAATTCAATGGTACGTCAGCTCAACTCATATGATTGTGGGAAAATTCTACTACCAGTCCTTCATCACCTTACACGAAATAGGATGAATACATCTCATTACACTGATTTATTGGTAGTCTCGAAACTCTACTCCAATACAAAAATACCTAAACTTTTGTTTGCCTTTATAATCGGCAACATTACTTATTTTAGCCCTTACACTATTCGGTCATGCTTGAATAAGTTGATTTATAATGAAGAGTGGTTGAAGTTTACTTAAAATTAGATGCCAGGCCTGTGCAATCTATG